GGGCAGAGCTCCTGGGCCCTGCAGGGTCAGGGCTGGTCAGTCCCACTGGGAGCCTGTTCCAGGCCTCACCCACTACTGACAGCATGGATGTTTCCTTTCAACAGTTTTAACACCAAATACTGCCTCAGAGCAACAGAAATCCTTGTGAGTGTTCCCAGCTAGACATTGGGGATAGCTTGACTTGGTGAAGCCAAACTAGATATACCATTACCTCCAGGATAAGCTTTTATTCTTAAGGGTCTTTCTTGCCTTCTCTCCCCGCTTCCATGCAGAGAGAGCCCTGGGAGCAGACCTCACCCGACAGTCTCAGCCAGTCAGATAGTGCATGCTCAGACCCTCTGCAAGCACTGCCTGCCAGCGCCAGCTGCCTCTCCTCACAAGAGACCGGAGGCGTTTCCCCATACCGAAGCTCAAGTTGGACCCCAGCCATCCCCGGAGCCCAGCCCTACCCTCTGCATCCTCTTGAAGATGTCCACTACTCCACCAGCTATGCTGCCACCTCATCCTACTCTTTCTCACCATTCCTGACTGTGGCAAACGAGCTTACCTCCAGGATGAGCCACCTCTCACCAGAGCAGTCCTTGGAGATGCCGCCCCTTCACGATAACTCTGCCTGGGCAAAAGAGGATGGAAGTCCCATCTGGGGGACTTATGAAGGCCGGAGAACTTATTGATGAGAGATAAGATCTGGACGAAAAGAACAATGGACCATTATTGAAGCAAATTAATTATTTGTATGCTTTTTCCTAGAGCTGGTCCTTCAAACAGAGGATGCTAACAACATGCAATGCTTTATGCTCTGTTTAGAAATACAATCACTTGGATCTACCACATTTAGCTTACAGTAGTGCCTTCTAGCACCTTATGAAAGTCATTGCTCACAATCCTGCTGTGTCACAAGTAAAATACACAGCCTGAAAAATATCTGCACTCTATGGGCCTTTCCTAAAAACAAGGATCTCAGGTACTTCTTTTCAGATGCCGAGAGAACAGGTTGCTCTGAACCTTAAACTACATCTACAGAGCAATGTTACCAGAAGAGATTTGGGAAGGCTGGGGAGCAAGGCAGGGGGTGGGGGAAGCCCTCCTTAATAGCACAGAGTCTGTGTAATGGTATCTGGTTAGCATAAATGTATGTCCCTAACGCTAACACGCTGCAAACAAACATGGCATTGTCTTGGGCAACAGTTATGGCCAGAATAGCAAAGACATGGCGCATTTGAGCCTACAGCACAGAAGGCTACAACCGAATAAAGCTCACCATTCTACACCAGGGCCTGGCAGACAGCTTAGGGTGTTGGCAGGGACTGTTGGGGCACCGTCCTGCCTGCTGATCTGCATGCAAGGAACCCTCTCCATCCTTCCCACCTGCAACGCACAAAACACATCCTCCCCCGTTTCCCTCCTGCCCTGAAGAAAACACCGAGCTGTTCCCCCTCTTGCCTACGCCAGATCAATACAAGTGATGTGAGTCGAAGCCTTGTGTCAGTGGGCATGAGGCAGACTGCTCCCAGCCCCTTGCCAAGAGACATCCACCTGGGGCTGTCACTGGCTTCAAGGCTGATCTGAAGTCCCAGTGCCAGACCGGGACCCATGGCCACTAGAGGTAGCTCTGCACACACAAACACACAGAGGAGTCCTGTGCAACCCTCACAGATGCAGCCAATCCCGCCTGCTGCCTCCGTACCCGATGGAGGCTACCCGCTTTGCCTCATCTCGTCCCCTAGCCTGGCATCCACAGAAGCAGCAACAAAAGCCTTGCTGAGGAAGAATGGGAGCTTTCTAGGGCCTGAGAGTGTGTAGTGATGAGATGCTTTAAGGCCATCCTTGCCTTTTCTCCTCAAATCCTGGGGCTGATTGGGCCTTTGGAGCCTCCTCAGCACCCTCCCAGGGATCATAAATGGCACCGGGGTCACAGGATCAGGCCCAGAGCATCGGTTCACATCATGCTGCCTGCAGGCACCTCACTATGAGGGAACGTGGACTGGGAGATGCAGCACTGCACCTAGAAATGGGCAGCAATAGCAGGCCCCTGTAAGCAACACTGCAGAGAGCTGCCAAGTGGGCCAGGCCAGTCCTCTACACAAAGGCCTTTCTTTTACAGGCATACCACCTAGCACCATCCCTGCCACCCCTCATCCTGTAGCCCAGGAATGTCCCTGCACCTCAGTGCACACGCAGCAACTGTACAAGCCCCTTGCTCAGCCCACACCTGGCAGACAACACCTCCCTGGCTGTTCAGGCACCCGTAGACCATCCAGAGTATGTCCTGGCATCAAAGGATGGACTGAGTGCTCCCAGGGATCTCAGCACCTGCCCCAAAAGGGAAGGTTCTGTGCAGGCTGCCCTGGAACAGACCTCTCACCCTGACCCCTCACAGCATGGCTGAGAAGCAGCTGTGAGAGACGGAGCACCAGCAGCCCTGGTGCAACGTGCCCAGAGGAGCCCATTTATGTCTTCAGGGGCTCAGCACAGCCCCTGCTTCTACCCCACCAGTGTCGATGTGCTCCTGGGGCAGTGGCTCAGTGCCATCCTGGGGTCACAACCATGGGTCAGCCCCAGCCACTGGGTGAAGCTCACCCCTGCAGCCCTGCTCAGCCACTGGCCTGCGCCCAGGCTTCCCCAGGGGCCAAGCCCCCTGGAGCCCCGGCTCGGGCAGAGGACCACAGCTGGCTAGGACTGCCCGGCTCTGGTCCTGGCTGGGCTGGATTCCCTCCCAATGCTTCCTGATTCCCCAGACTTGTTCAGACCTGCTCGGAAAAGCAAACTCCAGTGGCTCTCTGTGCCTCAAATCTCGCCTCTGCCCACCCCATGGGCTGCGCCCTTCTTTTTGCTAGTCGGGCCCTGGAGAGACAGGGAAAGCTCAGCCCGAGGAAAGAGCCAGTGGCCAGGGCTTCTCCACACATGTGCTAAGCTGAGCTAGGCTGCCTCCCTGTTTGGTCCGTGGGCACCACAGGCTCCTGCGAGCAGCAGGTGTGGAGCATCCTGGGGTGACGCCTGCTCAACCAGAGCTGCTCCCCTGACCATGAGCCAGGACAAGGCCAGGAGCCCCAGAGCATCTCGGGGTGTGTGCCGGTCTCCTTGCCCCACACCCAGCCCCTGCACCCCCAAACCGGAGGCCTGCACAAGCCCGCAGCCTTGTTCCACAGCACGACAGACAACACCGCCAGGCTGAATTGCTGTCCGTAGCTGCTATTTGACAAAGTGGTGAAGCAGTCACCATCAGCTCTCTCAGCTGTACCTTCTTCAAGGGACTTGCATGGATGGGGACACCAGGGTCAGTCTGGCTGTATTTCTGTCAGGCTCTGAGGGGGAAGCAGGGACAGAAAGTTTTTGAGCTGTCTTGGAAGTGTTTGACCCACTCTGGCATTTGGCTCTTAACCAAGGCAGGGTCTCTGTGAGCCTGGAAATGCTCTGAAACCCAGGAAATGCAGGAACGCCCCAAACACGGGTGCTTCATGTTTCCTTAAGGCATACAGCTCAGTCATGACTGGAGCCGAGCAGCCTGCATGCTCTGCTCTGTGGTCTCTGATTACAGAGGTAAACATTACCCCGGCTCCCGGGAGTGCCAGCTCCCCTGCACAGCACCCGCAGCCTCACCGGGCTCTACCCACCCACCACCGATGCCTCAGCAGGAAGCAGCCCCAGCAACGCAAGGGCTTCAGGTCCCAAACAGCTTAGCATGGGCAGGTCTGTGTACTCCCCTGCGACGCCCCCCGCCCTGCAACTTTCCCAGCACAGCATGCTCCTTTTTGCTGCATCGCGGGGAGGGGGAGAGGGCTCCTCTCCAGAGAAGCCTGTGGCAAGCATCCTTGCAGAGCCACCCCGAGCAAGGCTTGGCCTACCAGGAGCTGCAGAGGCACTCCCTCTGCACCAGGGATGGCATTGCCATTGCGACCACTCCCCACAGAAATCAAGTGTATTTGTTCAACTTAAAGGAAAAGAAAAGATTCAGCTGCAACAATAGCCAAACTGAACTGCTAGTAGATTATTAACAGCCTGGCCTGCTTTCTCCTTCAGCCAGCTATTCCCAGGGCATGGCAGAGACTGCACTGCCCAACGAAAAGTTTAAACGCAACCTAAAAAACCACTTCAGTATTGTATAGTGATGAAGGGCCATCCAAAAAGTGTGGCATCCTACCACACACTGCAACCCCACCACTTGCAACACACAGGGCAGGCCAGCACTGAAGCACGTAAGAAGAGAGGGGCCGATTTGTGCAGCAAGAGCAAATAGTCTGAATTAGGGGAAAACGCAGATAAACTCCAATATAAGCCCAGCATCTGGACGGAGGGAAGGGAGTGCTGTGGAAGGAAGTGGGGTTTGGGTAACTTCAGCTACCTGGGTGCCCAGGGCAGCCTCTTTGTTATGCCACGCCTGCCCACTGCCATTTAGGCCCCAAAACCTTAGTATTTAGCCTTAAAACGTAAAAAAATGTGCAAGAAGCAGCTCAGTCCCTTGCAGAGTCCTCTCTGCAGGTAGCAGATGAAATATGAGAGGGCTGGAGCGCAGCCTGTGTGTCTGAGGGGAAAATACTGAGCCAATTTCAAGGCATCTGCTTCGTTCAGGGAAAGATGGATAAAATCCTGCAAATGTCCCAAAAGCAAAGGGTGGGGAGGGTGGCCCCACCAAATCTTGTTCCCCCAGACCCTCTGCTAGATGGGGATGTGCTCAGTTTCACAAAAAGATAGCCCATTTTGTGGAGCCTTTGAATATTCAAATTGAAAGTATCGCGCAATCATTGATTGTCAAATCATTGGTTTCTAGAGGTTTTAAATACTTGGCATTAGGAGAGAAAAACTCAAACTTATACCCGTAGGGATAAAACAATAATATTATCGGGATCCACCTGGCATTGCCACCGGGCAAGCAGGTCCCTTGGCCCCCAGATTTCAAGCCTGTTTCCTCTTGCCCCCTTCACCTGCTCTGGGGCCAGGGCCAGGGCCACCACTCCCGCCGCACCGGGCGCCCGGCAAGGTGCTGCCCGCTCCTGCTCAGGATGTCCGGTAAGCCCTGCCGCGACCCCCACCCCCCATCCCCCCGCCACCCCATTTTGGGTCTGTTTCGGGGTTCGCCGGGGTCATTTCGCGAGTGAGGCAATCTCGCCTCCCAAGCGAGGAGGAACCGGGGAGGGCGGGGAGGAGGGAAGGAGGAGGCAGGGAAGGGATC